ACTGAGGCATTTATAAGACGCATTCTTCTTTCTGAACGGGCTCTGTTGATTTGGTGCATACAACTGTAAATGGTCAGCGCTGACACTGGAATACCTTTGCTTCTGCTGTACTTTCCCCGCAGATTACCAGATTTTAGCAAATGAGCTACTGTACATGAAAGTCCTTTGAAAAGTAGAAACTACTACACATTTAAGGAGACACTATATTTTCAGGCCAACATTTGGTGCCAGATTTTTGATGTGTGTTTTAATTTAATCTCCACATCAACAAAACCTCAATTTGAAAATGAGAAAACTGAGACTGAGGAAAGTTAAGAAACATGCTGAGGGTTATGAAATATGCAAGTAATGTTGGGCATCTCCAAAGGGGCTTTCAATAATAAAGATAAGGAAAGGTCTGAGGCAAAATATTTTATTTATTCCTGATGAAGGCCAGCTTGAGGGCTGGCTTAGTGTCTGAGCCAAGTGGGTCTGCTAACTGCGCCTGTGAAATTGGCAGACGCCCTGCCCAAAGGCCAGCATCACCAGCCCAGGCGCACCCGTCACAGAGATGGATTTAGGGAGCAGAGGAAGACGTCTGTGCTCCGTGACCAAGCTCAGGCCCAAGAGGGTGAAAATTAGATCTGAGCAGAGCCTTCCCAGATACCTTTCCCAAATTTACCACTCAGATAAATCACTTCACATTTTAAGGGTCAAAAGGAATATAAAGGGATAGGGAGAGGCCCAAGCTACACAATGGAGTTGCCATTCCAAAATGGAAAGCTTGGGAGTGGGAAAGACGTGTTCTCCATTAGCAAGTGGCAAAGGCGATTTTCAGATCCAAGTCTGTGACTAAACTTCAAAGCCAATGTTTTCCATTAAACCCTGGGAACACCCCTACTTGCTGTGGGAAACTCAGGAGCCAACTCTATTTCATCTCTTTTAACCATCATCACATGTGATGTCCTATTTATCATTTTAAATGTCTATTTGATCCGTAACCAAGTAGGGGAAAGCTCTCTGTTGGTACCATGGTGCCATGCACAACATTTTGAAATTCATAATGTTTGTGAAAGTAAACAGTTCAAATTCCACATTTCAGCTTTAAGTAAAGACTAATCTGTAGAAATAAGTATTCAGAGATGGGTCACTTGGAAATGAAGCTACCAATTCATTCTCTTTCTGTAAAGACCATGGGCTCCATTGAATTGCTGTATTTTTTATGTAGGTGGATGCACTGTAGGAAGAGCATTTTGTGTGTCTGTATTGAGGTTATTAAAATTGTTAGGTCTTCCCATAAACCTAAGCACACCGCTATGAAAAAAATAACTGGGACCAACACTGGGACATTGGAGCTGATTGTTTTAAACAAGTATATTTGTTCATTATACATCCGTTCATCTGTGTTAAGATGGAGTTTCAGTGAGTGGCTAAGAGTTGGGAGGGGAAGGAGTTGGGAATAACTCGAAGGGGTGTGGAATCCCATTGTGCTGGCGTACTCCGGCTTCGATAAATATTGCATGATGGTGCTGATACCTTTTTGTGTGATATATTCATTGTTTCAATAATTAATGTCACCAGTGCATATTTCTAAGCCTGCCAAAGGTAAATAATTTACTGTAATTACCAAAGAAGAGTGATATTATTTATTTATTAGAACTTTAAAAAAAATAAAAAGGGTCCTTTGTGAAAAGTAACCTCAGGGCCTCAAATGCAGAAGTTGCAGTTTGCTGAAAAGTAAAGTTAGTAGTGCCACCCACTTTCTATTGAATAATTGGCCCTGCTCTGAAGCTAGGTTACTTGGGGTCTCCAAAAGTCAGTAAAATGGGTAAATAAGGCCGGACTAGAATTAACACCTGAGCTTCGGTTTACCCGCATAGAATGTGGGGACTTTCTGAAGTGATGCGTTGCTCTGTTGGGGTTAGGACCTTGGATCTGTGGGCCCCTATTAACACCATTCATTGCACATTCGTCCACTGAATGTGTCTTCTCTCACTGAATGCTGAGAAAACTGTTTTTCATTCATGTTTGTATTTTTCTAGGATCTAGATAGGATAGTGGCTTGCACATAAGTGCTCTACTATCCCCCCCCCCCCATTTGATTTCCCAATTTTATTTCAGGGCTTCAAAAATAAAAAATCTTAGTAATTCAGAGTAATTTTTTAAATTTTAAGCTTTATTTAAAATTATCGAAGTTTATATAAGCCAGTAAAAAGTCATGCCATTTCACAAGAAATACTCATTAGGGGAAAAAAAAGTATCTTCTCTCCAGAGACAAATGCTTAGCATATCTTTTGAGACTTTTATTATACACTTTCATGTCTCTAAATAATATGTATGTTGCTTCTTGGCTTTTCCTCATTTCAGGAATTTTCTTTTTATTGACTCACCAAAATGGAAGAGGAAACTCTCATTTCTTAAACAACTCTTCTCTCCCGCCGCATATACTTCCCACCCCCCCACTCCCCCTAAACCGTTGTATTTTATTTTGGTTATACCAGTATGTGTTTAATGCATCTATTGCTATGCCTGCGTCATGTTATTTACAGATACGAAGTATGTTATGATTGCATTTTCTTTTTGGTACAGTATTTGCTTCCCCTAAGTTTTCTCGTTTGGTTGTTGCTCTCTGTACAAATCACTAGTCCAACGCACACACCCCTCCCCAGTTGTGAGAAATCTCTCCATATGTTCGCACTTGTTAGGTGATCTATAAATTTCATCTTCTGAATTCATCCCCCCTGGAGCTTTCTTAGTGGTCACTAAGAAAGTAACGGAGCCCTCCTGATTCCTCCTCCATTGTCACCATGGAAACTCCCTGTTTTTGTATTAGACCCTATGTCTTACTTGGTTTAGACCTCTGTTTTGGTGGAGTATATCTTTCAATAGTTTCCTTTACAGAGTGCGTCAGATATATATCTTTTTATGAGGTTTCATATATCTAAAAATAATTCTACTCTTAATTTTCATACGTTTTGTTCATTTGGCTGGTTATAGATTTCTGGGTTGAAAATCATTTCCTCTCAGGACATTGAAGGAATTGCTCCATTGCCTTGCCTTTAACTTCAGTTTTTGCTCTTAAAATCTGGTAGAAGTTTGTCACCTGTGACCATTTTCCTCACTAAAATTTGGAGAATCATTCTGTTTCTTCAAGTTTGGAAGTGGGGTTTATATTTCTCTCTACTTCTGGTCATTCTGTGGGTCCTTGTACTCTGGAAACCTGTCGTCAGCTCTGGGAAATTTTCTTGAATTAATTCCTTGACTTCTTTATATTACTATTTTTCTCTTTTTAGAACTTTTTCTTTTTTTTGGAGAGGGACAGAAGATTTGAAATCCCTGAACTGATTCTCTGCTTTCTTACATGTTCTCTCCTATTTTTTATTTTAATCTTCCTCTAATTTCCAGGCATTCTTTTCAACTTTAATGCTATCATATTTGTTACTGTCTTTGGTTCTGTCATTTAATGGAGCATCAGTAGGAAGCAACTCTTGAACAGGACAAAAATTGAGATTGATCTTATTTTTGGTCTGGGGGATATCTTATATCAGATTTAAAACATTAGCCATTCTCTATTCAAATATCTTTTGCTTTATTCTCCTCTTCTAAATTACACTTATGTTAAAATTTTTCACTGTGTTGCACATGTTTCATACTACTTTCTATATTTTCCATTCTCTTTTAAAAACATTTACCCTTCATTTTGTATAGTTTTCCATTTATGCTTCCAATTCACCAACCCCATTTTCTGTTGTGTCTAGTCCGGAACTAACATTGTATTTAGAACTGGACAAATGCCCATTGGATTCTTTCTTACATGTATTCCATACTCTGTTAAATTATCCTCTTTTTCTTTTTCTTTTTTCTCTCTCTTTATTTTCTTAAACATACTAATCATAGTTACTTCAAGTTCTTATTAGCTTACTTCAAAATGTAGGATGACCCGGAGCCTATAGTATCTGGGTGTGTTGTGTATTTTTCCTGTTTTTGTTCATGCCTGGCAGTTTTGTATTGCGTGCTGGACATGATGTGTGAAACAGATGCAGACACGGCACGCCCGATGCTGCTCTAGGCCTTCACAGAGGATTCGCCCTCCCTCTGCTTGGCAAACAGTGATGGCTGGTTATCTAATCCTATCGGGCGTCTGCTGAAATGAGGCTGGTTTGCAGCTCTGCTTAAGTGGAGACTGCCTCTGCTTTGTCTCTGGTCCCTTGGGGTCTTTACTTAAAACTCTGGTGTGATTTTCCAGTCTCCTCTCCCGACAAGTCCCAAACTCTCAATCTATTTCTCATGAAACTGCCACAAAGCTCCATGAGCCTTTCGGACTTTCTGGTCAGCCTGTTCTGCACACCCCAGAATTCCGCCAATGTCCTAACGGAGAGCACGCTGGAGGCATCCCAAATCTCCACTGAACTCCTTTTGATTTTTCTATTCCCCGGCAACAGCCTCTGCAGGTACAAAAGCCCCCATTCGGTCTGCACTGGTAATTGAGAAATGCCCTCAATTTAAAAGTAGCAACAAAACGCCAGCACGAGTGTTGGAGACCTTCCCCTCTCCCAAGTCCAGCTCCTCCAGTTCACGCCCCAGCTGTTCTCTGCGGCACTCAGACATGATTTCCATATTTATCTGACTTGGCGGCAGCAGCAGGCTACTCTGCCCCACTTGGAGACAGAAGTCGTCAAGACTGAATGTTTTATTTTCCTTTTGAAATTTGGGAAAGAATTTTACAACTGTTGTAGGATTAATTTGAAGATGTGTTGAAGTGCTTAAAGGCATGGTTAGAATTATTCCTCGATTCCTCTTGCTATGCCAATTACTCCAGATGCTTTCTTAAAGGATTGAAATAACCTCTATTTTCCAATTCTTGAAATGTCTGTGTAGACCGGTAGTGGAGTGTATATAAATTATTTATTGTGAATGTAGACTACCTGGACTGATAGAGATATACAGGTATATTTTGTAAGTGCAGAGAAAACCAATGTCTTGTGTGGGTTGTTGATGCAATCTATCATTTCCTTTTCCAGCACCTAACATTCACAAGAGAATTTGACTCAGATTCTCTTAGACACTATAGCTGGGCTGCAGACACCTTGGACAATGTCAATCTTGTCTCAAGTCCTGTTCATTCTGGGTAAGTAACCGAAAGGCACTTTTCTTTATCCTGTGAAGCTAGCATTGCATTTAATATTGCAGTTATGAACTCATATTGACAAACTTTATTTGTATGAAATATTGATCTTCTGTAGGACTTAATTAGTGAGTATATGTGGCAGACTTTATAACTCATTAGTGAATATTTTTAAGCAAATGTGTATATCTATTTTTATTAATAGAGAAGCACAGTGTTAGAAAGGAAATTCATTAAAGTTTTGGTGCCTAAAATTTTCCTGGCAATGCTGGTACATTTCTAGGTCTTTAATTTTCCTTATCAATTAAAAATATTATGTATAGCCATTTCTCTTAATTTTATTTTATTCAAATGAAATTTTCCCCTAAATATCTGACGTGATTTTCCTTTCTAATAGATATATATATATATGTGTGTATATATATATATATATATATATATATATATATATATATATATAAAATCTTTCTATTAATTTATCTCATTGTTTTATTACCCACCTTGGGGTTCTTGGGTTCCCCAAGACAGAACTCAAACAGAAACCCCAGACATTTCCAAACTGATTTTATTAAGCTTGTGCTCAAGTACAGAGGAGGCAGCAAAGGGCCTCTGAACTAACTCTGCTTGGCTGATTTTATAAGCTGGGGACAAAGTGGACTGACTTTTTGAAAAAGGCGGGCTTGGAGAATTTTTCATTTCAGGGTTGGGAGGACTTGCCTTTCCAGCCACCTGGCCTGTAACTGTGTTTCTGCCTGCAGCTGTGGGGGCAAGGTGGCAGACTGCTCATTACTGCCGCTCTCCAAAGGTCCTCTAGAGTCAAAGCTTGATCCACTGTGCATGTTTAAGCAGACCAGGGAGTCAGTCAGCTGCCTCTTCGTTCTTGAGTACAGAGTGGAGGGTGGTGACATTTTTGTGGTCAGCTTATCACAAAATCCATGCGACCATCTAGTCTCGCCTTGGCTTCATGGCTACCTGGTATTTTCTGTCCCCTGCCTCACACCCCTGTGCTGTCTCAGTTTGACTTGCTTTGGCGCTTTGCTTCGAATGATAGATGGATTTCACTCAAAAGTTTAGTTTTTAAATTAGCAGTAAACTGTGGTGTTCCTATATTTTTCTCATATGATATAGGCCTCTGATTTGACAAATGATCAGTTTTGTGTGATTTTCCTTTAAAAAGAAAATATAAACTTGAAACCTCTAGATCAAGTTTGGTCCCCTTCTACATTTCTGAAATGAAGTTATAATTGTGTTAAATTACAATTAGAAAAGAGAAATGAGTTTTTAAAAGAATATAGAGAAATCCACTTTTTAAAAAATGAATGTGCCACAGTATGTCCATGAGAAGTTCTGTGGTGAGAAGCACATCAAACAGGCCTCACTGCTGCCCCGCCCCCAACCCCCCACCAGCAAAATTTGAGGCCGGTGCTAAAAGCTGAGCTGCTTCGACTGCTAAATTGATAATCAGTGTATTTTTAGATAATTGGATTCTTTACCTATAGGTCATCAAAACCTGGGGTAAGTGTTCTCGGTACACATGGAATAGAAATAATGCATCCGATAGTGAACATGGTTCAAGGTATTTTCACCTCTGAAATCGGCATGTAGGCCACACATTAGTTGTGATTCAGGACAAAGGCTGATTCATTTGGAATTAAATAAATGATCAGTCATTAACACTGTAGTGCCTTATGTGTTTCATGAAGTGTTTGCTGCTGCTTTTAATTAAAATAAATTGTAATCGCTAATTTACCTTGTGCTTTTCATGTACTTGGCATTGTGCTAAATGTTTTACATGTATGGTCTTATTTAGTATTTATCTGAGCTAGAATGACACGGTGAGAGGTTTTATTCATTATCCCTGTTCTACAGATGAAAAGTCTGAGATTCAGAGTAATGGTGCAGGTAATTTACAGCATTCTATAGTATTTATGGTAGTCTTATGGAGCTTAGCTTGGAACACCACAATTCTGAAAAACAGAAGTGTCATTCCAATGGCAATGATTTACATGAAAATGCTGTATGTATAAATGATAAACTACATGATGGTCTTTGAGTCATTAACATTGCATTTAACTAAATTAGCAAAACCTTCAATTATAGTAATGGTAATTATTAAACAGCTAACAGCTAACAATATTTATAAAATTTCTAGTAGATATACGTGAGTCTAAAATTGCAAAAGCAAAAACAATCAGAGTTGACAAGGAAAATGTAAAATACTTGGCATACATTTTGTGGGCAGACATGTTGAAGAGTTTTTGGAATCAAGCTTGGTGAATGTCACCGTGTTACAAAGAACTTTGTACCCTCTACATGGGAAAGAAAAGTACTAGCCATTAATTTATTAAACTGAGAGGCTGAGGAAGCATAGGATAATAAAATCAGAAATGAACTTTTGCATACATTAGAGACAATGAAGTATTTGAATATGCAAATTATCTCTGCTCCTTGAATTAAAGACAATAGACATGTGCAGGAAAGCAAAAATAATGACAGCTAATATGGGCTTATTTGAAAAGAAAAATATAGGCTTGGTATATACTTGGAAATAGTTCATTAATGCTAGGTCTATGGAGTAGCTTGTTTATGGCAAGTATTTTTCCAGGTGGTCCCACAAATGCCAAATGCTTTGGTTTCATGTTCTGATGGTTTTTATTTTTCTTTTGCTTATCATTGACATTTTCTGTTGCTTGCTTCTAATTATCTTACATTAATTTTTCCCATTTGCTTTCTAAATTATTTTGCAGCTATTCTTCTCCACTTCCTCAGTATGATTCAAGGTGATAACTTGTCTTTTATGTGAACCATTCTCTTTTGTATTTTTAATTTATGTGAATCCCCCCCACCCCCCGCCCGCCCCACCTCCCGCAGTTAGATTGTGTCAATGTCTGTAGTGTATCAGCATTTGTCATCTCGCTGTTCCTAAAACTAGAAATATTCATGTGTTAATTTTAGGATCATTTGTATAATTCCTCCTTTAATTTAAATAATAAAAGATACAACGCACATGATTAAACATCACCTTTTAATTTGTTTCTGTAAGTTATATTGCATGGAATTTTATTTTATACAGAATATGTAAGGAACGAGTTTGGAAAACAAATCACTCTAGTTTATAACGTGATTGAATAATAGAACCCATATTCTGCCTAACATGTACTCCCACCTTTCCCCAGTCTGTGGGCTCCATAAAGTTGAAAACCTTAGAACAATATACAGTTGGTCATGAGCTCCAGCTCCGCATGGGGTGCTATCAAAACACAAAGAGGCTCTTCCAATTTGTCATTAAAATCTCCTAAGCCATGTTTCTTTTTCCATTTGGTTCTGATATTCTTTGTAGCTGGGATATTTTTATATTGACACTGACTACCTTCTTACACTACCTTCAGACTACTTAGCTACAAATGCTATTTTATTTATATATATTTTAGTAACCAAGTCTGGCCTAGGCAGTTTCTTAGCGCGCTTAACAAAATAGTTTTGCTCGTTAGTTCATCCAGTAAACGTGTCTCGTGTGTAGGAACTGCGCTCGGCTCTGCAGGAGGAGCAGTGAGCAAGGCCGACCTGATCTGAATGACTGTCTGTCTATCTCATTGAGACTCAGCTGCTTGTTGCCAGGGCATACATTGCCCTCCCAGTGTCAACACCCCCATGTTCATTGTACTGATACCACTGAATTTTCAAACCCAGAGTTAGTACTGAATCATTTTTCCATCCATTCTCTTCCTATGATTCTCAGTCACAAGTTGGTTTTCACCGTTAACTGCTGGGAGAGATCAGATTTTGTCTGAGACCTCATTGCCACATTATCTTTGTTACTGACTAGAAGTGGTTGTTAAACATGTATAGGTGTAAGAAAACGTAGGCTCCCAGCGTAGGTTCGTGAGCTTTGCATCATCTAGCACTGGAGACAGTTCGTGTGGACACGTGTGTAAGTGAACATGTATCTTTTACTAGGAAGGAGTGCTTTTTTGTTTTGTTTTTTTTTGAAGGGGTCCATCTCTTCCCCTCAAATGTCACAGTGGCCCCAGTCTCTCAAAGTAGGTATAATGTTATGGAAAACATAAATTAACTCAGAAGAAAATGGCTAAATCCAAAATGAACAAAAAGGGCGTGAAGTTGATTCCGCCCCACTGATGACCAGTAACGGTTCTGAAAATCGGATTGGCTAAAAAAATGACCTCCGTGTGTCTCTCTCCATGGGGATAGCAAGTCAGTTTGCTTTATTGAAGAGGTTGCTGGTCAAGAGGCTAACTCTTTAGGAAAGGGTCCCCAGCTAGGACTTCCAGCCAGGGCCCTAAAATCTATTTGCAGGATTTTAGAACTGTTTTTAGATGAATAAATGATAGAGGATTTTGATGGATGGGATAATTTTTTCCCTAAAATACTGCAGGTAGTCAAACAATTTTCTCATCATCCACATTTAATGCTGTTCCAGTACCAAGCACATTTTCACATGTGAACATGAGAGCGCGCAGATCCGCGTTCCTGTTCACCTGTCTGCCGCGCACCCCTCCGTGTGTCAAGTTCAGCACTGTGGCCCTGGGGGGAGAACTTGCCGGGGGACTCCTTGCCCTGAGCACGCGAGAGGAATCGCACATCGCAATGTGCTGTTTCCCTGATGTGACAGTTAATTTCTTTACATTTTCATATTTTTCTCATTAGCTTTAATGTAGAGGTCAATGACAGAATTATGTAGTTGAGAGATATTTTCTAAGAGGTCTAAGTGATGATATTTGTATTGCTGTACAAATACTCAAATGTAGGTTATTTTAAAGCCAGACTTATATTTTAAAGAAATCAAATCCCTTTCCATCAAAATTGCCTTAGCGACACTAGTCATCTTCTGCTTTTATTATTATATTCTGCTTTGTGATAGTAAAAATTAGAGTGCTGGTCTGAGTAAACATTCATTCATTTATATGAACTGTACATGTTAAGACATACTGTGGAGTTTCATCTTACCTTTCAGGGCTAGAGATTCCATAGTCAGCAAATGGCTACAACTATTTGAGGTTAAAATGATCCTTGAGTACAGCTTACAACACCCATAAGAGACCACATCCGGTGGTTTTGTTTTTTGTTTTCAAATGCATGACAGTCCTTTAGCCGGTTTTTATTCCCGTTTTGGAACCGTCACTGTTCCTTCCCTTTGAGCCATTGACGAAGTGGTCGGCTTCGCCCAGGGGGCCGTGTGCCACCAAAACTAAGTTGTCATGTCTCATTTTGTGCCCAGCTCACAAGTTCAATGCATGTTTGATGTGACTCCACCGTATTGACTTCCGATTTATTTTTAAAGAGAGGAAATGATAGCTGCATTGTCTGTCACTTTAAACTTCAACGTTTAATTTCAAAACCTCCTCTGGGAGATGGCTTATTTCTGTCCTTGATTTGGCCTCTGATCTTCTCCCTGCAGGTTTCTCGTGAGCTTCATGGTGGACGCGAGAGGCGGCTCCATGAGAGGAAGCCGCCACCACGGGATGAGAATCATCATCCCTCCACGCAAGTGCACGGCCCCCACCCGAATCACCTGCCGTTTGGTAAAGAGACATAAACTGGCCACCCCACCCCCCATGGTGGAAGGAGAGGGACTAGCCAGTAGGCTGGTAGAAATGGGTCCTGCAGGGGCCCAATTTTTAGGGTAAGTTATTGTGTCGATCTTAACCTTGGCCCTCATAACCACATCTTTGATTTTTCTTTACCCTTAACTTGAGAAGTTAGCTATTAAAATGGCTTAGTTGGACGGGCATTGATTGCACCTTTTGTGTAGTGTCAGAGGTCACAAAGCTGTGTAAGTCCGTGAGCTCATAGGCTGATCCTCCCCTAACTCAGTTTGCTGGTCAAAGCTTTTACTAACCCAGAAGCATGTTCTCTGCTCAGTGAGTGCACGGAACCCCAATGCCACCCTTAGGGTCAAGGCACCATTCTTAGGGAAAATAAATATGGGTGCTGGAATTTTATCACCACGTTGAATAAATGGCTACTTTGGGTACATGTTCTTTTATGAAGATCACTGCTGGGGGAAACAATTCATTGTGATATGGTATTTTACAAAAAGAAACACTAAATTGACTTCATTATCTGAGGTGGCACTTGGGTGCAAATCAGGCAGGCTCTGTCGTGACGGACAGTTTGTTCACGGTTTCCCCTTCTCGTTTCTCTTCCTGCTGCATGGATCTTATTCAGTAAACTGCATCTTCCCACCCATCCTCCCCCTGTAACTGAGGGCGAGAGCTTGGTTAGCCGAATCCTGCAGCTTGGGCCTCAAGGAACAAAATTTATTGGGTAGGCTCTTCATAGACAAGATACAGAATGTCTACAATTCTTTTTCCATTTTCAATTTTCTGTCACACCCATAGTCTTATTCTTAAGTTCATTTTTATTTCTTTTAATTGTTAATGCTTTCAGTTGATGTGTGTCACTGAAAGGAAAAAACAAATCATAGTGGCTTGACTTAATGTCGCAACGCTACCTATCTTGTGCTTTTCAAGCATGTGGAATTCACTGCAAGCATTCTGCTTTCATATTTTTTTGTGCTTTTGCAAGCCTTTCTTTAATTTGAAATGTTTTGACTGACTATGATAGCTTTTCAGATAGACAGGCAGTCTAATTTCAATCCAGTGTAGGAGAAGGTATTTACAGGCTTTAAATCAACATTTGCTATTAGTGGGAGATGTATGTGTGTATATATATGTATATGTATATATATGTATGTGTGTGGAGTTACATTTAAAAAAAAGTTTGAGTAATTTTCATGGGCTTTGCGAAGAAAAAGTGTTCAATAAGTAAACTGATTTCGAAAAATGTTGGGAATACGAGATATGGAAAGAAAACCAAATAGGCAGCAGATAGAATATTCTACTGTAGTTACCACATTGTTTTGTTTTATTTTGTTTAGCTGATGTGTTGGTATGTGTCACTTGTTTGCTCGTCTGTTCGGTGTATGTGCCTTGGCAGTCTGCATGAGGAAACCTGTCATGAAAAGTTACGCTTGGCTTTCACCTGGTCAGAGGTCCTTGTCATATCTTCTCTCCAGTGATGTTGATGGTCATACACACAGTCACATTCCCTAAATATTCACAGAGACAGTATCTGATACATTAACCTGCAAAGATTGTATATCGTTCTGAAAGAAATTAATATTTAATTATCAGCTGTGGTTAAAAATAAAAACTATGGTAAATAACTTAGAATTATTAACACTACTAGAGATAGTTGATTTTGCCTCTACCTGTCAAAAAAATAAAGGCATAAATATCTTTTAAATCTTTAATTTGAATTAACTATACTTATTTTGCCAAAAGTATAATGATCATATTTGTCATCCCATTTTAAGTGAGTGCCAATAGTCATGTTTTTATTATGTTATTTGATCGTTGCAACTACTGTCCCTTTTTATGTCCTAACCCAATGGAAGCCTTTACCTGCTGTTATCACACATGCATAAATACATCGGTGAAGAGGCGAGGTTACATACAACCTCTGTAGGAGAATAATGATACTGTCTACTTAAATGTCATAAAAGAAAGCTGCACAATCCAACTACGTAAACTGTATGTGATTGTGGTCTGCTTACTTCCATTCGTTTTTTTGTAACATCCTATTTTAAAATTTAACAAAATTATTCCTGTGCTTGATTGGCTTTCTTCAATTTGCAGCCATTCTTTTGCAAAGGACACTGTCAAAAATTAACAGATTATTTGGCAATTTCAAACCAACAAGTGCTTTTTCAGAAAATTTAAATATTCCTATGCAGGTTAAACTAGAGCTAGGAAAGGAAGCTGCCCTCTACCATTTCACAAATTGAAAATCAGAGAAAGTGTCTTAACTACCTAGGCTGTGAAGTCATGCAGACGGACTATTGGAGGAGTGGGTTGTTACATTGATCGTTTTCTTGCTAAGGGGAAAAAAATCAGTAATCTTTAAAATAGGATTTACAGAATTCTTTTTTAAATAAATGACTGTGTCCTTTTAAATCATTAGCATTTTTTATAAAATATAATAATATACCTATTGTGTTTTTAAAAATGGACCAACTTTCTTTCTTATGGTCTATTTTTATAATCTTCAATTCCTTGAATCAAAATTTATACGGGCTAAATATTTCCCCCTCCCCCATTAAATCAAAAGCCTAACCTATAGTAGGCCCTCAAGAATTGTTTGTGAATGAATGAATGATGGCATGTTTTCAAGCTTCTAATATATTATTTAATTAGCAAATGATTCTGCAGCTTTGAAATCATTCCCAACCTTAGTGGCACCTCTGATTTTCCACTGAATCCCGTTAATGAAACTTTTTTTTTTAAGTATGATACTATAAGTATATTTCATTTGATACCAAAATAATGTGGATTTTTTTCCAGCCCTGTCATAGTGGAAATACCTCACTTTGGCTCTATGAGAGGAAAAGAGAGGGAACTCATTGTTCTTCGAAGTGAAAATGGAGAAACATGGAAGGAGCACCAATTTGACAGTAAAAATGAAGATTTAACTGAATTACTTAATGGCATGGATGAAGGTAATTATGATGAATCTTTGTTTCTGTAAATCTCTGCAGGAAAAATATCAAAGGAATAACTAGACTAAAAGAAACATTCTGGACTTCACACATTTGTATTTCAAGCTGGGAATGAGGTTCCTCAGTGTTAGTTGCTGTTTTCTGTATGTAAGGCATGAAGTTCCATTTAATGTAACAAACGTTTTCCCTCATAATACTAATGTACAAGTAACGGTTGTGATTCTTTCATCAAATACATCAATCTTTCCAAAACCCAAGAAAGTTTTCTAAGTCAAAGATGTATAAAGAGGGGGTGAAAAAATAGTGGAAGGTATGCAAAGTATGCAGAGCATTTGTAAGAAAATACGTTCACATTTTATTTTTGGAATTATTACTTTCAGACCCTTTCTTCTATCAGTTTTCCCCCAGATTCTTCCCGTATTCTTCATGAATGTTTAATTTCTCTTGAGCTGTAATCCATTTTTAAAAAAAATATGCTTCAGGCTAGTTATTGGAGTCTTTGTTGCTGCAGGTCTTACTCTTTGACCTATAAGACTGACGTATAACTGAGCATATCACTTCCTCATACACACCTCAGGCTGTCTAACCCTTAGAATCAAAGCCGTTTTTCTAAGGTGTGCAGACATTAGGAATGGACTTACTTTGAGAGTAGGTACTTGATGCAGTTTTATAGACCAAGGTCACCATAAAATAAAGCCAGTCTTTATTTTATACTGACTTCCTAATCACTACAAATCCATCAGTTGTTTTAAATAACTGCTTTATTGGAGATGTAACTCACATGCCATAAAATGGACTCTCTGAGGGTTTAACTCACTTATTTCTGGAATGCTTCCAGAAAAGTCCCTCCTTGTTTCAAAATGTGGACAGAGGGGCTCCACAGATTCAAGGGGGTTTGAGGGATGACCATGGACAAGTTCTTTGATCCTTCTGAGCCTTTGTTACTTCTGTAACATGGAGATTACCTTCCTTGCATTATAGGATTGTTGTTAAGAAAAAATAATTATGTGAAGACTAATGAAATACAGTCCCTGTCACATAGTAAGCCCTTGATAAATACCAGTTGTTGTCACTATTATATTATTCTATAGGCTAAAAAATTGTCATGCCAAAGGTTTTGCATAAGATAGTTAATTACAGCCAACCAGGAATTTCAGGTGTCTTTACAGCAAGGGGAGGGAACTAATGATTGTTGAGTGTCTAGTGTTCATGAAGGACTAATAAACGCCTGTATATATGAAAATCTTAAATGAAAGCATAGTCCTGAAAAATGGGAAGTTTTAATCCCACTTCAGAGGTAAAGGAACTGAAGTATTGACATGTCAAGTAACATATAAGGTTACCCCAACTAAGTAGCCTCACAGGGTTGAAATCTAGTCCTACCTGTTTTCAAAGACATTTAACTATTTCCCCCTTATTTTAGAAATGTGTGTCTTGTGGAGAAGAAAATAAACCTAAAGGGGAAAATTCCTACAAACCTGTAGATTTAAACGTCCAGAGGGATAGTCATTTTAAATGTCATGTATTGAATGAGCATACATTAAATGTCTCTTCATAATACTGATATTTATATCACCATCTCCAGCTTCAGATAATTTCTGATGGATAGGAACATGCAATGGAAAATAAGATTTTTCATTTTTATTACCTTATTTCAAAGCATGAAAACTAGTCATTCTCTTAGAAGGACATTTATAAGAATATATAATCAAGAGTTTTAAAAAAGAATAAATACTAAGAGAATGAATTGAATTAGCATTTTGAAAATAAAAATAATACAGATAATTCAGAATAAAAATCTGAGCAAATAAGGGAAATGGGTATTCCATAGAGGATAGTTTGTTTTTGTTTTAAGGAAAATAAAATATAAAAATATTTTCATATCTCCATATTTCTTAAATGCTAATGTAGATGACTAATCTTTAAAATGTAGCATCCACTACACAGAATTTTCTCCTTTTTAATGGGTAGTGACCTTGATACTGTGAGCTCTGAGAGCAGGGTACATGTCTTGGTCACCTTTGAGTCGCCAGTGTCAAGCACAGAGCTGCTTTAGACTAACTCATGCAGTCCCGGTGAGGGAGCAGAATGAGGAACCGCAATATTATAAGATGTAGCTTTATGGAGGAAAGTTCTCATTAGTTCATTTCCTCTACCCCAAACTTTGTTAGTGTTCATCTCCAGGAGAAAAACAGTTAAAGAGGAGCATTTACTTTGAGGAAAGTACTGGAGAGTAACTATATTATAGCAGGAATATTGAATATTCAAAGACAGTGCTGTCCAATAGAACTTCCTACGGTAATGGAAATATAAACACTGTGCTTTCCAACAGCCATCACTACTCACAGGTGACTCTTGAGTACTCATCATGTGGCTAGTGCAACTGAGGAAGGGAAGTTTTAATTTTGCTTAATTTTAAGTAATTTTAAATAGCCATGTGTGGCCAGTGGCTATCTCATTGGACACTGAAGTTCTAGCAAAAACCACCTAATATTCTAATAATATATTCTTCTTCATTTTTTAGTATAAATGATAGTATCTCCTATCAGGCAGAAATAGAATTTTTTTTTAAATTATGTGGAATGGAGTTCCATAATTTCATGCTGACATGACTTTATTTTGTTTGTAATAAACCAGTTTTCAAATAGGAGTGAGTCCTGTCTTTGCCTAGACAAATGATTCACCATACTAAGGTGTTTTAAAGAAATGAAGATAGAGCCCTCTGTCCTGGATTCTGTGTGTTATCTTGGAAACAGTAGGTAGAGTTTCTATGCTACATTTTTAAAGACCAGATAAACTTGGGTTCCATTTTAGACAATTAAAAGGAAATGTAAATACTTTCGGGCTTAAAAATCAAGCACTGGAAAGCCAGAGCAGCAAAAATGAGGACTGAATGTTGAAGGCACAGTGGTTTTCTTCATGTATTGAGTTTTAAAATAATAATTATGAAGATCCACTACACACCTTTTATAACTGAACCTCCATTCTTCAGATTTCATACCCAGCTCAAGCCCTACTTACCGCCATTCTTCTTCTGCTCCCAAAGTTTCTTCATTGTTATTGGGATACCCCCAACCCCTGTAAAAACAGACAGGCAGAAAGAAAAATCAGTCTAGCTCTAAAAGCATAAAAAGCAACCCTTCTTTTTCCTTTCAAGTCCAACTAGTCAAAGTTTTCTCAGGAGGAGAAGTGTAGGCATCGTGTGGGAGGTTTCATGTTACCTCCCACACCATGTCCCCCCCAAGTGGGCGCCCTTTTCTGAATCACACAGACACCACTAGGGCCAGTGGAAGCCCTGGTCACCGTTGATGGTGGTGACACTCGTCCCATCACCACCACCCACCCAGGAAATAGCAAATAAGTAGGTGGAGACTTCCAAAATCCGGACTTCTGACTCAACTCGAGTTGTTTTTCTACATTACTCCTTTGCCTTTGTATGTTTTCAAATGAAGGATGCCTATGAAACTACTTTGTGGGGAACAAAAATGCTACGTAAAGGTCAGCTGCTATGTAATGTTCCATTACTAACCAAGTAACCCTCTCAGTTCATGTATGACTCAAAAGGATGTCGTCATTGCAAAATAAGGTACAAGCCTGTGAGCCTAGAGCCTCTGTGGTTATGCTAATGAAGGGGGTGTGTCAGCAGGGCTCTATTCTAGTAAGAGGCTTTGACACAGGACAGTTGGTCTGGGTGTGAAGAGCCTGCTGTTACCACCAAGGTATCATGTGGCAGGAGCAACTTTTCTCTCTGGCAGCGGACACAGATCTTGTTCTAGCACTTGTCAATTCGTGTATTCTCAGCAGAGAAAAAGATACCACGAAACAGAAAATACTCATTCTGCTTCCCCCAAAAAACTCTTTACGGTGTACCAGATTAAACCCACTTCATAAGTTTAATTAAAACCTTACTTTAATTAAACCTGCAAAGTTCATTTACACATGTTTAAAATTGTGCCTCCAAAGCTAGACCCAAGGGGTGTTTTGTAGTTTGCAGTTATGCTGGTCCTGGGAGTATTTGATTGGTGGAAAAATTCTTCCTCCATAGAGGTCTTAACTTAAAAATTGATGAGACACACAGAGTCTTGCACTATCCAATACAGTAGCCACTAGCTACATGTGGTTATAGAGCACTTGAAATGGGGTTTGTACAAATTGAGATATGGATGCTATGAATGTAAAATACATGATATACAAAGATTTAGTACACCTCCAAAAGTAGACACATTGAGTGTCCCAAAAAATGTATACACACACTGAATAATTATAAAGCCAGTGTTTATTAAAATACATTTCATTTTCAAAATTGAGCTATCAGCTGTTACAGTATGTATACATTTTTGGGGGGACAGCCTGTATATCTCATTAAAAATGTTTATGTTGGTTACATGTTGAAATGGTAATATTTCAGAAATACTGGCCTAAATATAACATTGTTAAAATTAATTTCACCTGTACCTGTTTACTTTTTAGTGTTTCTATAAGAACATTAGATATTTACATATGTGGCTTGCATTATATTTCTTTTGGGCAGCGCTTCTCTGGACAGTGTGTAGACTTTGTTTCACAGTACCATTAGGTTTTAAAATCAAAATCATTGCTACCTAAGTATCAGAAGAATGCTTTGGGGATATATGAATTATGCTATGATTTTGAAATCTCAGTCACTGTATTGGAACAAAATGTTCCTAAACTTCTCCAAACAATGTTATAATGCTAGGAAAATACTCTCTCCCTTGTTGTGATTGCTTAAGTTTCAGATGAGAGCAAATGAGATTTGAAGATGCTACATTTTAGATTTAATAAATTATACTACTGGAATTGGAGTCAGGAAAGGAAAATTGATACTTAAATGTTACATAGCAAAATAAATTTTCTGTGATTTTTTTATCTAACTAAATCAACAATATTTTAGAAACAGACTTCTCAGTTAAAAATTGCAACTTTGCTTCATTTCAGTGAAGCAAATTTACTTGTTTTTAATTTATCAGCCCTGAGACAAA